TTATGCAAAATCGGATTCTTAGCTAAACATTGTGCGCTTTGATTATCGCAATACAACAAAACGGACTTGGTTTCTAAGAAACCCATTTCATACAATAGTTTCTTCAGATATATCGCCTCTCTAGCTGCCGTGGATAAGGCAATGTACTCGGCTTCGGTGCTGCTAAGTGCCACCGAACTTTGCTTTTTTGATTCCCACGAAATTGCCCCGCCAGCAGCAATGAAGACGTACCCGCTATACGATTTGCGATCTGTAGTATCGTTAGCCCAGTCAGCGTCCACGTATCCATGTATCTCCTTTCCAGTAGCCTGATAGTGAAGCTTCATGTTAGCCGTGCCTTTAAGATATCTCAGCACGCGCTTTGCCGAAACTTCATGCTCCTTGTGAGGATTGGCGTTGCGCTGCGCCAGTTTCACTACCGAGTGTAGTATGTCTGGCCTAGTTGTTATAGCCAAATACATCAGGGTGCCTATTAACGATTGATAGCCTTTCTCGTCAATGGCCTTGCATTTGGCGTCATCACATTTGACTTGATGACCCGCCTCCAGTGGTGTAGCTACAGGTTTGCATGTTGACATGCCCCAGGCATGAAGCATCTGCTCGACATACTGCTTATGGCCGATAGCTATGCTGCCAGTTTCGCCATCGCGCTCAACTTCGATGCCCAAAAAGTGATTGAGCTGGCCGCCATCCACAACATCAAACTTATTAGCGATTGATGCTTTGATGCCCAAAAGTTCATCTTTATTTGAGCTGGCAAGTAAAAGATCGTCAACATAAACTGCTATTATATTTATACTACCTTGTCCATTGCGTACATATACGCACGGCTCGCTGACACACGGTGTAAAACCAAGTTTTTTCAATACTGCGTCGAGCTTAGTATTCCATTCTCTGCCGCTTTGTTTAAGCCCGTACAGAGACTTCTTTAGCTTTAGGACCTTCTCGGGAAACTCTTCGCTTACGAACCCATCTGGTTGCCGCATGTACACGTCCTCCGATAGCTCGCTGTTCAAGTAAGCAGTAGATACGTCCATCTGATGCAAATGCAGCTTCTTCTCAACCGCCAATGCCATGATCATTCTAACGGACGGGTATCTGACCACAGGTGAGAATGTTTCCCAGAAGTCAACACCATAGCGCTGAGCACATCCTTTGGCAACTAGTCTTGACTTAAAGCGCTCTACATAGCCTTCCTTGTCAACCTTTACGCCAAATACCCACTTGCAGCCTATAGCCCTTTTATCTTGTGGCAGATCCACTAGATCCCACGTGTTATTGGCCTCTAGCGCATCCATCTCCTTCTGAATCGATGCTGACCATTCCTGCTTCATTCCTGACTGATTAACCTCACCCAAATTTGCTGGAATGTGTATATCCTCTGCCTTCAGCATATTCAGACAGTTGTATTGCTTACGTGGTCGCCCCGGCTTGCCAGTTTTAACGAGTCTTGGACGCCCTGGTCCACGGGTTTCAGATACAGCAGGCTGCTCTGCCTCATCGCTGATAGCACTCTCGTATTCATCACTGTTCTGATCATCTCCTGTGTCCAAGTCATCCTCTCCGACGTCCAAATCATCCTCTGCCTGAAGCTGCTCATCATTGTTGTCTTGTGCCTGCTGATTATCTGCTACAAAATCATCAAACAATGCCATTTCCATTTTATCGCTTGGAGATCCACCTACATTATTTTCCATGAAAATAACATCTCTGCTTTCAATAACTTTCCTTGATTTAGGACAAAACAAACGATATGCTTTTGCCGTTGCTGAATAGCCAATCATAACGTATTCATTACCTTTTTGGCTAAACTTCTTTTTATGGGCTTTATTCAATACGATTGCCTTTGAGCCAAAAACCTTGAGGTGCGACACATACGGTTTCTTGCCAACCCACGCCTCATATGGTGTCATGTTGCACAACGCTTTTGTTTCTGACCTATTGCGCAGATATGCTGCAGTCTGTACTGCCTCAGCCCACAGGCTCTCATCTGCGCTTGAATGAATCAACATACTCCTGGCCATTTCTACCAGAGTGCGATTTGCTCTTTCGGCAACTCCATTTTGCTGTGGAGTATAGGGTACTGTCAGCTGTCTTACTATACCGTTTTCAGTAAGAAATTGTCCAAATGCGTGGCTCACGTACTCGCGCCCGTTATCGCTTCGAATTGCTTTTACTTTCTTTCCGCGTTGTTTTTCTGCAAACACAACATAGTCTTTGAATGCGCTTAGTATTTCATCACGAGATTTTAAAAAATAAACAGCTGTATAACGCGAGTGATCGTCAATGAACGTTGCAAAATAACGCGCACCCCCGACAGACGGTTTGTTCATTGGTCCACATATGTCCGAATGAATCAAATTCAACACTTCTTCTGAACGACTTTCAGATTTCTTTGGAAATGGTTTCACACTAATTTTACTTTTGGCGCAAGTCTCACACGCATTGCTGTTTGAGTCAATTTTTGTATTAACTGTTTTTAAACCATTCACCATTCCACCACTCGCCATTTTAGTTAAGCTTGACAAATTTATATGGCCAAAACGATAATGCCATTTCCACATTGCACTGCTGTTTGTATTAGAATACATACACTGCTTCATTTTTATGTCAATCATAAACAAGTCACCATATCTGCACGCTTTCAATATGTCCACATTTTGTTTATCCCTAATCACTGCTTTGTGGTTATCAAAAATGACTTTATATCCATTTTCAACTGCTTTAGCCACCGATATAAAGTTTGTCTGTAACTCTTTTGCATACAACACATTTTTTCAGTTCTATTGTGAAACTTTTTACACTAACACACACAGTGCCAATGCCATCGGCCAACACAAAATTGGCGCCAGCAAGAAATATTTTTTCTTTGTGCTCTCTCATTTCTACGAACCACGACTTATCACAACACATGTGTACAGTCGCGCCACTGTCCAGACACCACATTGATTTGCTCAAATTGTCAGTTTTCTTCACATTCGCCAGAATAGCAAGGGCTCTCTTCTTCTCAGTGCTTGTGTCTTTGTCATTTTTTAATTCTTCTTTGCACTGAGCTATAAAATGACCTTCGCGTCCGCACCTATAGCACTTCTTTTTCTTTTTTGTATTACCCTTTTGGTATACATTCTTCGCGCGCGACATAAATGCTTGCTGCACACTGCTGTCCGCAACTTCACTTTTCACTTGTTGTCTCTGTCCTTCTTCAATAATTTTTATTTTCAAGTCAGATAAGGACGGCAACATTTCTCGCGTCTCGATTGCCACAACGAAATTTTCAAATGATTTGCCTAAGCCGGTTAGCAACAAAATTGTAAGCATGTCTTCACTTATGTTCATTCCTATTTCGTTTAACTTTTCCACTATGTCCGAGAATTCACTTATATAGCTTTGCACACTTGTACTTTCTAGCAAGCTCATTCGCAGCAATCTTTTAAACAATGCTATTTTTCTAGCTGGTCCGCGCGGCTGGTACACACTCATTAATTTCTCCCATGCCTCTTTTGACGACGTGCAATTCTTTATGAAGTTAATTTGCGACGACTTTACACCCAGCAATATGCTTGCTAATGCCTTTTCGTCCCGTGTATCAAACAATGCGTTTTGTTCTTGGCTATCCCCTTCATTTTTCACAGTTCTCCGCACACAATTGGCCACAGATCACTTTGCACCAGAATGCTTTTCATCTGTACCGACCATACCGCGTAATTTTCCTCATCCAACTTTTCGATGGAACATAACCCGTGTCCACTCATGTTCATTAATTTTTTTCGCAATCACACACAGTAATTTAAATTAATGTCACAGTTTTTTATCCACACGAGCCCTGGGCCCATAACCTGTTGGTTATATGATATTTTATTTATTGTGGAACTCGGATAAGAAGCTGTATGTTTAACATGAGTAACTTATAAGTTTATATGTTTAATAAGGCTGCGCGACAATATGTGGTGACGTCTTCAAAAGCAGATACAAGAAGAAAGAATACATAAGAAAATATCGCATAAAGCAATAAAAGGGTAGCTTAAGAGTGACCAAAGTTTGTATATCGATTGTTGCCCGACAAATCATATTTCAACATTCTTCTGCTTTGAAAGAGTTCCCAAAATAAATTGTAATTTTTTTTTAAGTAAACAACTTTCCTGGCTTCCAGGATCGATGCAGCTAGAAGGAGTGGTTGAGGGCAAATCAGGTTAAATACCAGTCTCTCTCCACATCAGGAGCACATGAAGCACAATATTTCATTACATTCCAGTTAAACTATCAGCGAACTGGACCGGCTGTCTATTGTTCTGTGGACGGTGACTGGGCTGATGACGACAGCGAAAGGAAATCATTCACCGGCTGGACATTTTTGGTAGCAGGATCAGCTGGGTCTAAAAAGCAACCCGTACCCGCTCTCAGCACAACAGAAGCCGAGTATATAGCGCTATCTTCAGCTGCAAAGGAAGCAGTATACATTTTTAAGCTTTGGAGTGAGAAAGTTCTTGGTGAAGTCCCTCCAATTATAATACATAGCGATGATCAAAGCGCGCAGTTCTTAGTAAAAAAATTCTGAATATCACGCGCGCAGCAAACATTTAGATATTAGATATCATTATGTAAGAGATATGTTTAAGGAAAAGATTATAGTTTTGAAAAAAGTATAAACAGAAAACATGATGGTAGTTGTGTTATTGAAGAATTTAAGTAAGGTTACGTGAAATGTATATAATGGGTTTCCTGAAACTAATTATCATGTAAAATGACATACAGCGCGCTGCAGCGTTGGGAAGGAGTGTTAGAAATATAGCATAGTAGGGCAACGCCGTTTCTCAGCTGATTACGGGTGGACGTGTTTCTTTTTGGTAATCCAAGAACTCTAAAATAATGCACTCATATTTCCAATAACGGTTCCTTTAACCTGCTACATAATTTTCAACGAGTAAAATATACCGTTCGAAAAGTACACAAAAATACGTAACTATTTAAAAATTAAAGTCTTAAATATTTTTAATACTTACGTCACATGTTAAAACAACTTTGCTGCCTTGCACTGTATGATGCTGCAATCCACTAATATCAATACTTATCGGACGAACTTTTGGAAAAAGAAAAAATAATATTTTTTAAATGTTTAAAAAAATCAAATATTTTTATATTTCCTTACTAAGGTTTTTAATATACCTTGTAAATCCACGCTAAATTTTGTAACGGTTGTATTGGGAATGGCGGCAGATTTTACACGGCATTCGATATCTTGAGCCAGATCTTCTCGGGACATTGGCCAATCCAACTCTAGTGTTGATGTATAAAGACCATCACTTATGTCATGTGTGGGAGAATCTGTATGAGTTAAAGGCAGGTATAAAAATTTTTGTAATGCAGTAAATTAATACTTATATGTTTATATAATTACATAGTACAAAAAGAAATTCTATAGCCGAGAGCCGAGATTATCGTTTGTGTGTTAAACAATTTTGAAATTAAAATTTTGCCATCACAAATTTCCGCAGCCTGATCATGAAAACGCCTTACAGAGTACTAGATCTGTGTGTTTTTAGATTTTCACATCTCGCATCTGGTAAGACATTGAAAGAACCTTGTGCTGGGTAGGCATCTCATAACTTAGTATCTTTCATAGTTTGTGAGATTGCAGCTTCCATACAACCAGACGGACATAGATAAATCGACTCGGGTGTTGATCTTGATCATGAATATATTTACTCTTTGGGGTCGGAAACGCTTCCGTCTATCTGTAGCATACTTTTTTAAAAATACTCTTTTACTTTTCTGAGCATAATAATATAATCTCATAAATTTAAAATGTTATTGTGATTCCTTCTGACTAGTCGCGGTACTCACTGTAGCGTACCTGAAATCATAGCAGTGTATGGGGTGGGGTAACAATTTTATAACTTTCGATAATGTCGACAAAATATATATTTCTACTGATTTTTTGGTATTCTTAAAGGTCAAAAATTAGCATTAAAGTTAACCTATTTCATCTTTAATCGCTGTATAAAAATGTATATGGTTTTCTGCCACAAAAACGACCGAGTTATGATTGTAATAGTGGAAACTTTTTCAACATAAAATTTAGAACTGCGTTGATATTAATGCATGCGTAAGGTATGGCTATGATTAAATTTATTTAATTGCTGAAATAAAAAAAAACGAACGAATGAAGCAAAACATGAAGGCATACAAGTAATGGGATATTAGATAAGTGTTCTTACCCTTTAGAAACTAAGACCAGCTATATTTTCTAAGCTTAAATATTCATTTTTAATATACGTTTTATTTTTATACTCACAAGTTGTAAGTCGCTTAGTTCCACGGAACCAGGCAACTTCTGGTTGAGGACGGGTATTTTTAACAGTACATGTTGCCTTGAGTGACTGCCGTTCCTGCATGGGCCCTACTACGCTGCCGTTCTCAATTCGATCGCCTTTTGCATCCAAAATAACAACCTCAGTGGGTGGCACTGAAACCGTGTATAATTATTTTCCATATTGGTATAGAAATGGATGCCGATTTGTGTCGTTTGTGTGAGATTTCCATATAATTTTAAGAAGGTAAACAAGCATGTTAAATTGGATCTTTAAGAAATTGTAAAAAATTATCCCCTACATATAATAAAATTTAAATTAATTTTTTTTTTTTTCCAAATTTACAAATAGTTTTTGAATTTTTAACCCAAATATTGAAGAATTTCATTTATTTTACTTATGTACTTTTTATGTTCCTTAATTTGTTTTACAGAGATCTTTCTTGTTAAGAGCTTTAAACGAAACACAAGTTATTTACCAATGTTCTCTACGATTTTAGCATGTTGATACGGTAGGATAAGCAAAAGTATTTTAAATGATTTTTTAATGGAAGACATTTGTAGTTGTGGGTCATACGTATTATAAGGAATTCCCATGTCGATGTTGACGGTCGTTTTAATATAGTTTTTTAAAAAGAAGAAATATAAATGTAAAAATGCAAGAAAGAGAAAGAGAATGATTAAAGTTTAAGAGATGATGTATTTAACGAAGGCAGACTACATGAATATAAAACTTAATAGCAGGTAAATACCGAAACCAATGTTTACAGCAAATAGATAAAAATATTTTAAATATTCCAATTGGCTTTAAGCCTAATGCTACATTGTAGTAATATTTGTAATGTTAACAAAATTAATTAAAATTCTTACAGAAGTTTTTTAATGGGGCTTGTCAATTTTTATGGTTATTATTTTCAAATCGAGAGAACGGGAGAAGGAAAACTTATTTCATTATTCTTTTAAATATTGGGATTTACCATACTTTTACTGTTTTTAAGCAAACCAAATTATTGTGAATTTTATTTTAAACAGATTTCGTTGTTAGTCCCTGGTTTAATTCAGATGCACTGACCTCAAAACAACTACAGAAACAACTACAGAAAACTGTGTTACAGGGTCAGGATATGTATCGAATTACGAATGTAATGAATTGGATTACGAAGCTTTAAAATGATGAATACGAATTGATGAATAATATGGTTGTTTTTCCAAATAACTACTTTCTTATTTCTTTCGTTTCTCTGTAACAAATGTATTTATTGTAATTTTAATTTACATAACTTTAAAAGCATTTTTTAGAATTTTTATAATCGATTTAGGGTTTTGAAATTATTGAAATTCTATGTTTTTATATATTTATTTATTAAGATCTTTGAAGCCACCGTAATTAGTAAATATTAAATGTTTATTTATTCCTGTTTATCAAAACTTAAGCTAATAGTAAGATTGCCAGTAAGCATATAAATTAAAAGTAAACTTCACAATAGTCACCATGTGGATTAATTAATGAAAAAGTTTTTAATGCCAGTCATTTTAATAAAATATATTATTCAAATATGGTTAATTTACCTAAGACTCTTAGTTCTATTCGATATCCATTGAAGTTATCACAAGTTTCTTCTGGTATAAAAAATGTCGTATCACATAGATAAATATCTTCATCATCTATTTTCAAGTCCTTAATAACTAGCCTGTATGGGTTTTGTTCAACAGTTACTCTAAAAGAAAAAAAATCAGATTTGAGTGCATTTTAATTCATTTATCTTACCTTTTATCAAATTGTTTATTAACATTCGTAACGTTACTGTCCCCAAGAAGCATTGCAGCAATCCGATTGTCACCTTTAAACCAATTCAGTGAGTGAAGTTGTCCACATTTATCTATATTAACGGGACACGGAAGCACAACTGATTGACTTTCTAGTTGACTAATGGTCGTATCTAAAAAAAAATTAAACATTTTAGAATGGTAAAATTATAATGTATTCGTCTATAAATATGTTCTCTAGAGTGTATTTTAAGCTAACTTTCCGTTTGAAGTGACTTTAAAAAGTTTATTTATATATATAGTATTAAAGTCATGTGTACCGAAATTTGTAAAAAAAACTTTTCAAAGCTTGCATTATGCGTGCAGATTCCAACGATGTTGCCGCAATGAACTTATTTTTACGAATTTAACCCGCGCACTGTAACGTCTACAACAATTAGAAAACTGTTGCGTCCATAATATAAAAATTGATGATTCGTTTTGACATTCTGTATTTTTTTTTGTCAATACCATTCGTAGTACGTATCGTTTTACTTGGATATAAGGTGAGAAGAAAAAATAATTACTTATAATTACTAATGGCGTTTACTCGCAGTGTTGTTGCAAGTCGAATTTACAGACATGGTTTTCTATATTTTTAGGTGTCGAATATAGATTTTGTTCCTAAACTACTTTTACCGTTTAGTTTCGTTTGATTGGTGGCGATGGTTGCGGACTGCGGCAACGGTAACAAATGTAGATATGTTAATTGTGATAGTGTACATTAGCTCTTGGAAATGTTGGTTGTCTAAGTCAAGCGCAATGTGGTCCAACGTAATGGCGAATGCCAAAAATTTTGTTAACAGTTTTACATGCAAGAATGTTAAATAGGTAAAAGTCACCCCTCAGAGTTGAAAAGATGGTGAAAATGTATTAAAATTAGCTACAAAATTGTATTGTTTTCCTATCAATTCAACTATCGATGTCTTCTAATGCCTGTAAACTGTTGTAAGCGAACTGCTTTTTTTTCAACTTCTGTTAATATAATATTTTATATTTATATATTTATATAGAAATTACTTTTTTGCTTAAATTCAATATATATAATATAATATTATTTATATAAGTAAATTCCATTACTCATCAGAATTAGTTTATTATTATTATTTGGACTTAAGCGATAAGACGATGTACAAGTTTTTGATCTTTAGATGAAAGAAGCCAATCGCGTGAGATAATACCATCCCACTGGGACTTTTAAACATGTTTCTCAGGCAACCAACCGTGTTTCGTTATGGTCAGATGTTACACAAAGGTGGGAAAATGTTGTACTATTCAGAGGCAAACATTCCGCAGATCCATTTCCCATGAAAGCGACGAAAACCTCAAAAGACGAAACGAAAGCAATAACAGTAAGCTAAAAGTTTCAAAACTGTAGCATAAAATGCAATTCTCTCGCTTTTTTAGTTGTAGTTTGTTGACTAAAACTATAAGTCAATTTGAAATAAAACAAGGAGAAACTGCCAAATCAGACATGTTTTATAACTGACGGTGACGTTACTGCTTATAAGAAGTCTTATATACTGAATTGTAAAAATAATTCACAAAATTTTTTGGTAAATCGATAGGTTTTGACAAAACAGTTTAAGCAAGGTCAAAATAGAAAATAATTTTGAAATGCATGCCTAATCCCAACATTTAAGATATTATATTCCCTGAGATCTAAGTGTTTTCAAGGTTTTAGTGCTTTGTGGGCGTTAGATTGGCGTGCCTAAACGCGTAGGTACCTGGGATCTAAGCGTTCAATAGCTTAATCCGTCCATATTAGCTCTGAGATATCGAAAACTGAGAAATCTAGAAACACGGAATTTAGAACGTCATTTACCTCCTAAAAAGATAGAGTTCACAGTTTTGACATTTTACTAAAACCTTAATATTCTCTGCAAGGTCATACCAACACAAGAAGGCAATTTTAAATAAAATAAAAATTTTAATATTCACGTATGTCGGCTAATAGTTAAAATAACTTTTTGTGTTTGTTGACAACTGTTATTAAACCAGTCAGTCGTAGAGTTAAATGGAATACATTTTTCGTTAAGTAGTATAATATTTAGAATGCAGAAGAAAAGGTTTGCTATTTCCATAACATCATTATAAATCGTTTTTCATGATTTAGCACCATATCTTTTCAAGATTAAACTTTTTATAAACAAAAACACTAAGAAAGTCGAGAACGGCGGCTATCAGTATACTATGCAAATCACTTTTAAGATAATAATTTTCCCAGCTGGGTTGGTGTGGGCCGCTTCTAATTAAAATTGAGCTGCCCAGGAGCGTCTAGAATCTTCATGCTTAATCTCATGTTTTTAGATATCACAGTTTTCGAGATCTTATCGTTTTAATTGATTCTAATTAAGAATATATATTGTATACGATAGAAATGATTCCTTCCATCTATTACATACTTTTCAACGCATTTATTATCTACTTAAGCTTTAAGAGAATAACAAATCATAAGATACCAGCAACTACTATTTACCATATACCCGTTTCTCGTAGAGTAAATATGGTAAATCGTATTCGTTGAATAGAAGGAGGAAAGAAGGAAGCGTTTCCGACCTTACATATACAAATATTCTTGATCAGGATCCATAGCGACATCGATTTAGCCCCATCTGTCTGTCCGGCCGTCTTTCCGTAAGAACGGTGAATCTCAGGAAGTAAAAGAGATACAGAGTTGGGACTAAGCAGATTCTTGAGATGCGTATGCAGCGCAAGTCTGTTTCACGGTCCTGCCACGCCCACTCTAGCGCCCAAAAAACACTTATATTAGGAACTATAAGAGCTAGAAAGTTGGCATTTGGCATGTTCAACCTCGAGATGGCAGCGTATCTTAAGGTGGTACTATTATTTGGCCCATTAAGTTAGAAAAACGGTTTCATCTTTTTGTAGGAATGCTGAGATCTCGGAAACTAAAAGTGTTTAAAAGTTGGGGTTTAAGCATGAACTAATAATACCTCCGAAGCGAATTAATGTTTCAGCATTTGGCATTTCCCACTACCACAAACTGTTTAAATAATATAATATTTCTTATATATAACCGTAAGGACTTACCAACTTGCGCACAAGAGCGACCAACAAGAGCCAAACTTAGAAGCAGTACTAGTAACGGTTTTTTGTGTGTGCTATAGGCCACGTGAGTAGTCTTGGGAATACCCCTTTCTAAACGTCTCAGCACCATATTTAACAAGTTGCAATATGTGAAGTCCGCTTTCCGCACGAAATGTGTCCAAATTTTTCTTCAAGGACTTTTTGATGCTTTTATGTTTAGTGTTTTTTCGGCGCATTCAAATTATTGAAGGTTGATTAAATTTTTATTGTACAATGCTTAGGCTTAAATATCAGGGTGAACGTGCCTTTTTTAGTTAATTCACATAAATGTTCGATTTACATACTTTTAATTACAGTACATCTTGTACATGTCTTGTTAAGCGATGAAAAAGTTTATTATTCTGAAAAAAATAAGAAAATTACTTGTATACAAAAAGTTAAATGGAATCATTACTTATAGGAGTTTTAAGGCCCCTAAGCAATAATTTTAATTGACCAGCGGGTTAGTGAAAAAATAACGTATATTACGCAACTGAAATAGAACCTGTTTGCCTGTCTGTCAGTCTGTCAGTCTGTCAGTCTGTCAGTCTGTCAGTCTGTCAGTCTGTCAGTCTGTCAGTCTGTCAGTCTGTCAGTCTGTCAGTCTGTCAGTCTGTCAGTCTGTCAGTCTGTCAGTCTGTCAGTCTGTCAGTCTGTCAGTCTGTCAGTCTGTCAGTCTGTCAGTCTGTCAGTCTGTCAGTCTGTCAGTCTGTCAGTCTGTCAGTCTGTCAGTCTGTCAGTCTGTCAGTCTGTCAGTCTGTCAGTCTGTCAGTCTGTCAGTCTGTCAGTCTGTCAGTCTGTCAGTCTGTCAGTCGGTCTGTCAGTCTGTCAGTCTGTCAGTCTGTCAGTCTGTCAGTCTGTCAGTCTGTCAGTCTGCCAGTCTGTCAGTCTGTCAGTCTGTCAGTCTGTCAGTCTGTCAGTCTGTCAGTCTGTCTGTCAGTCTGTCAGTCTGTCAGTCTGTCAGTCTGTCAGTCTGTCAGTCTGTCAGTCTGTCAGTCTGTCAGTCTGTCAGTCTGTCAGTCTGTCAGTCTGTCAGTCTGTCAGTCTGTCAGTCTGTCAGTCTGTCAGTCTGTCAGTCTGTCAGTCTGTCAGTCTGTCAGTCTGTCAGTCTGTCAGTCTGTCAGTCTGTCAGTCTGTCAGTCTGTCAGTCTGTCAGTCTGCCAGTCTGTCAGTCTGTCAGTCTGTCAGTCTGTCAGTCTGTCAGTCTGTCAGTCTGTCAGTCTGTCAGTCTGTCAGTCTGTCAGTCTGTCAGTCTGTCAGTCTGTCAGTCTGTCAGTCTGTCAGTCTGTCAGTCTGTCAGTCTGTCAGTCTGTCAGTCTGTCAGTCTGTCAGTCTGTCAGTCTGTCAGTCTGTCAGTCTGTCAGTCTGTCAGTCTGTCAGTCTGTCGGTCTGTCAGTCTGTCAGTCTGTCAGTCTGCATCTGTCAGTCTGTCTGTCAGCCTGTCAGTCTGTCAGCCTGTCAGTCGTCAGTCTGTCAGTCTGTCAGTCTGTCAGTCTGTCAGTCTGTCAGTCTGTCAGTCTGTCAGTCTGTCAGTCTGTCAGTCTGTCAGTCTGTCAGTCTGTCAGTCTGTCAGTCTGTCAGTCTGTCAGTCTGTCAGTCTGTCAGTCTGTCAGTCTGTCACTCAGTCAGTCTGTCAGTCTGTCAGTCTCGTCAGCCTGTCAGTCTGTCAGTCTGTCAGTCTGTCAGTCTGTCAGTCTGTCAGTCTGTCAGTCTGTCAGTCTGTCAGTCTGTCAGTCTGTCAGTCTGTCAGTCTGTCAGTCTGTCAGTCTGTCAGTCTGTCAGTCTGTCAGTCTGTCAGTCTGTCAGTCTGTCAGTCTGTCAGTCTGCCAGTCTGTCAGTCTGTCAGTCTGTCAGTCTGTCAGTCTGTCAGTCTGTCAGTCTGTCAGTCTGTCAGTCTGTCAGTCTGTCAGTCTGTCAGTCTGTCAGTCTGTCAGTCTGTCAGTCTGTCAGTCTGTCAGTCTGTCAGTCTGTCAGTCTGTCAAGTTTGTCAGTCCCGTCAGTCGTCGTCTGCTCGCTGTCAGTCTGTCGGTCTGTCAGTCTGTCGCCTGTCAGTCTGGTCGGTCCGTCAGTCTGTCAGCGGTCTGTCGCCCGTCAGTCTGTCAGTCTGTCAGTCTGTCAGTCTCCGTCAGTCTGTCAGTCTGTCAGTCTGTCGATCTGTCAGTTCGTCAGTCTGTCAGTCTGTCAGTCCGTCAGTCCGTCGCTCGTCAAAGTCTGTCAGTCTGTCAGTCTGTCAGTCTGTCAGTTTGTCAGTCTGTCAGTCTGTCAGTCTGTCAGTCTGTCAGTCTGTCAGTCTGTCAGTCTGTCAGTCTGTCAGTCTGTCAGTCTGTCAGTCTGTCGCCTGTCAGTCCCGTCAGTCTGTCAGTCTGTCAGTCTGTCAGTCTGTCAGTCTGTCAGTCTGTCAGTCTGTCAGTCTGTCAGTCTGTCAGTCTGTCAGTCACCCGCTGTCAGTCTGTCAGTCTGTCAGTCGCTCAGTCTGTCAGTCTGTCAGTCTGTCAGTCTGTCAGTCTGTCAGTCTGTCAGTCTGTCAGTCTGTCAGTCTGTCAGTCTGTCAGTCTGTCAGTCTGTCAGTCTGTCAGTCTGTCAGTCTGTCAGTCTGTCAGTCTGTCAGTCTGTCAGTCCGGCCGTCAGTTCGTCAGTCTGTCCGTCCGCAGTTCGTCGCTCGTCTGTCTGCTCGCCTGTCAGCGTCTGTCCGTCAGCCTGTCAGTCTGTCAGTCTGTCAGTCTGTCAGCGTCTGTCAGTCTGTCGCCCGCTGTGTCGTCTGTCAGCCTGTCAGGTCTGTCAGCTCCGTCGGCCTGTCAGCCCGTCGTCAGTCTGTCAGCCTGTCTGCGTCCGTCAGTCCGTCGCCGGTTCGTCAGTCTGTCAGCCTTCGTCAGTTCGTCAGTTTGTCAGTCTGTCAGTCTGTCGGTCTGTCAGTCTGTCAGTCTGTCAGTCTGTTCGGTTCGTCAGCCTGTCGTCTGTCAGCGTCTGTCGTCCGTCGCTCCGTCAGTCTGTCAGTCTGCGCCCGTCAGCTCGCCGTCGCTCTGCCGCCCGTCAGTCTGTCGCCCGTCAGTCTGTCAGTCTGCCGGGCCTCAGTCGTCCGCCGTCAGTCTGTCAGCCCGTCAGTCTGTCGTCTCGTCGGTCTGTCAGCCTGTCAGTCTGTCGTGGGGCCCGTCAGCTCGTCAGTCCGTCAGTCTGTCAGTTCGTCAGTCTGTTCACCCGTCAGTCTGTCAGTCCGTCAGTCTGTCGCCCGTCAGCCCGTCAGCCCGTCAGCGTCCGCCTGTCCGTCCGTCAGCGTCCGTCGTCAGCGTCCGTCTGCCCGTCAGCCCGTCAGTCTGCCGCCTGTCGTCGTTCGTCAGTCTGTCAGTCTGTCGTCTGTCAGTCTGTCGATCGTCTGTCAGTCTGTCAGTCAGTCTGTCAGTCTGTCATCCCTGAGTCCGTCAGTCTGTCAGTCTGTCGGTCTGTCAGTCTGTCCGGCCTGTCAGTCCGTCAGTCTGTCAGTCTGTCAGTTCGTCAGTCTGTCTGTCGGTCTGTCAGTCTGTCAGTCTGTCAGTCTGTCAGTCTGTCAGTCTGTCAGTTCAGTCTGTCAGTCTGTCAGTCTGTCAGTCTGTCAGTCTGTCCGTCAGTCTGTCAGTCTGTCAGTCTGTCGGTCTGTCAGTCTGTCAGTCTGTCAGTCTGTCAGCTCTGTCAGTCTGTGCTCAGTCTGTCAGTCCGTCAGTCTGTCAGTCTGTCAGTCTGTCAGTCTCTCGATCTGTCGGCCCGTCAGTCCGTCTGCCGTCGGGGTCTGTCAGTCTGTCGCCTGCCAGTCAGTGTCAGTCTCAGGCGCCGTCTGTCAGTCGTCGTCGTCAGTCTGTCTGGTCCTCATGGCCCGTCAGTCTGCCGCCTGTCAGTCTGTAGTCTGTCAGTCGCTCCGTCGTTCTGTCAGTCTGTCAGTCTGTCAGTCCGGTCTGTCTGCCAGTCTGTCAGTCTGTCGTCTGGGTCCCGCCCGTCAGTCTGTCCGTTGTCGTCTGTCGTCTGTCAGTCTGTCCGCCCGTCTGTCTCGTCAGCCCGTCGTCTGTCTGCCTGTCAGTCTGTCGTCGGCCTGTCAGCCTGTCAGTCTGTCAGTCTGTCAGTCTGTCAGTCTGTCAGTCTGTCAGTCTGTCAGTCTGTCAGTCTGTCAGTCTGTCAGTCTGTCAGTCTGTCAGTCTGTCAGTCTGTCAGTCTGTCAGTCTGTCAGTCTGTCAGTCTGTCAGTCTGTCAGTCTGTCAGTCTGTCGGTCTCTGTCAGTCTGTCAGTCGTCAGTCTGTCAGCTCCGTCGTCGTCTGTCGCCTGTCAGTCTGTCGGCGTCAGTCTGTCAGTGTGTCAGTCGTCAGTCGGTCTGCCTGTCTGCCTGTCTGTCTCTGTCAGTCTGTCAGCTCGTCAGTCTGTCCGCCTGTCAGTCTGTCAGTCTGTCAGTCTGTCAGTCTGTCAGTCTGTCAGTCTGTCAGTCTGTCAGTCTGTCAGTCTGTCAGTCTGTCAGTCTGTCAGTCTGTCAGTCTGTCAGTCTGTCAGTTCGTCAGCTCGTTCTGTCAGTCCGTCGCCTGTCAGTCTGTCAGTCTGTCAGCCCCGTCAGTCTGTCAGTCTGCCGCCCGTCAGTCTGTCAGTCGTCGTCGTCTGTCAGTCTGTCAGTCGTCAGCCTGTCAGCCTGTCAGTCTGTCAGTCTGTCGTCCGTCGCCCGTCCCGTCAGTTCGTCAGTCTGTCGCGCGTCCGTCAGTCTGTCGCCCGTCGCCCGTCGTCCTGTCAGTCTGTCAGTCTGTCAGCCTGTCAGCCCGTCAGTCTGTCAGTCCGTCAGTCCGTCAGTCTGTCAGTCTGTCGCTCCGTCAGTCTGCCGTCTGTCAGTCTGTCAGTCTGTCAGTCTGTCAGCGTCCGTCAGTCTGTCAGTCTGTCAGTCTGTCAGTCTGTCAGCCCGTCAGTCTGTCAGTCTGTCAGTCTGTCAGTCTGTCAGTCTGTCAGTTCGTCACGTCTGTCAGTCTGTCAGTCTGTCCGTCTGTCGTCGTCTGTCAGTCTGTCGTTCGGTCTGTCTGTCGGTCTGTCAGTCTGTCAGTCTGTCGGTCTGTCAGTCTGTCAGTCTGTCAGTCTGTCAGTCTGTCAGCCCGTCAGTCTGTCAGTCTGCCGTCTGTCAGTCTGTCAGTCTGTCCCTGTCAGCCTGTCGTCTGTCAGTCGTCAGTCGTCAGTCTGTCAGCCTTCGTCAGTCTGTCAGTCTGTCAGTCTGTCGCTCTGTCAGTCTGTCAGTCTGTCAGTCTGTCGTTGTCGCCCGGGTCGTCGTCAGTCTGCCCGTCAGTCTGTCAGTCTGTCAGGTCTGTCAGTCTGTCAGTCTGTCAGTCCGTCAGCCCGTCAGTCTGTCAGCCTGTCAGTCCGTCGCCCGTCAGTCTGTCAGCCCGTCGCCCGTCAGCTGTCCGTCAGTCTGTCCGTCTGTCGCCAGCCGTCTGTCAGTTCGTCGCTCCGTCGTCTGTCCGTCAGTCCGTCAGTTCGTCAGTTCGTCAGCCTGTCAGCCCGTCAGTCGCCTCGTCAGCCTGTCAGTCTGTCAGCCTGTCAGTCTGTCAGTCTGTCAGCCCGTCAGTCTGTCAGTCTCGTCAGTTCGTCGTCTGTCAGTCTCGTCGCTCGTCAGTCTGTCAGCTCGTCAGTCTGTCAGTCTGTCAGTCTGTCAGTCTGTCAGTCTGTCGCCCGTCAGCTCGCCGCCCGTCAGTCAGTCTGTCAGTTCGTCAGTCTGTCAGCTCCGTCAGTCCGTCAGTCTGTCAGTTCGTCAGCCCGTCAGCCCGTCGCCTGTCAGTCCGTCGTTGCTCCGCGTCTGTCAGTCTGTCGTCTGTCAGTCTGTCAGTCTGTCAGTCTGTCAGTCCGTCAGTCTGTCAGTCGTCCGGTCTGTCAGGTCTGTCGTCTGTCAGTCTGTCCGTCTGTCAGTCTGTCCGTCTGTCCGGTCAGTCCGGTCTGTCAGTCTGTCAGTCTGTCAGTCTGTCAGTCTGTCAGTCGTCTGTCCGGTCTCAGTCTGTCAGTCTGTCAGTCTGTCAGTCTGTGGCCGGTCTGTCAGTCTGTCAGTCTGTCAGTCTGTCGTCTGTCAGTCTGTCAGTCTTTGTCAGTCTGTCCGGTGCAATCGGTCTGTCGTCTGCTCCGTCGGTCTGTCGTCTGTCCGTCTGTCGCGTCTGTCAGCCTGTCAGTCTGTCAGTCTGTCAGTCTGTCAGTCTGTCAGTCTGTCAGTCTCGCGGTCGTCTGTCTGCCCGTCTGTCGTCAGTCTGTCAGTCTGTCAGTCTGTCAGTCTGTCGTCTGTCAGTCTGTCAGTGTCAGTCTGTCAGTCATCGTCTGGCTGTCAGTCATGTCAGTCTGTCAGTCAGCTGTCAGTCTGTCAGTCTGTCAGTCTGTCAGTCTGTCAGTCTGTCAGTCTGTCAGTCTGTCAGTCTGTCAGTCTGTCAGTCTGTCAGTCTGTCAGTCTGTCAGTCTGTCAGTCTGTCAGTCTGTCAGTCTGTCAGTCTGTCAGTCTGTCAGTCTGTCAGTCTGTCACTCTGTCAGTCTGTCAGTCTGTCAGTCTGTCAGTCTGTCAGTCTGTCAGTCTGTCAGTCTGTCAGTCTGTCTGTCTGTCAGTCTGTCAGTCTGTCAGTCTGTCAGTCTGTCAGTCTGTCAGTCTGTCAGTCTGTCAGTCTGTCAGTCTGTCAGTCTGTCAGTCTGTCAGTCTGTCAGTCTGTCAGTCTGTCAGTCTGTCAGTCTGTCAGTCTGTCAGTCTGTCAGTCTGTCAGTCTGTCAGTCTGTCAGTCTGTCAGTCTGTCAGTCTGTCAGTCTGTCAGTCTGTCAGTCTGTCAGTCTGTCAGTCTGTCAGTCTGTCAGTCTGTCAGTCTGTCAGTCTGTCAGTCTGTCAGTCGGTCTGTCAGTCTGTCAGTCTGTCAGTCTGTCGTCTGTCAGTCTGTCAGTCTGTCAGTCTGTCAGTCTGTCAGTCTGTCAGTCTGTCAGTCTGTCCAGTCTGTCCAGTCTGTCAGTCTGTCAGTCTGTCAGTCTGTCAGTCTGTCAGTCTGTCAGTCTGTCAGTCTGGTCAGTCTGTCAGTCTGTCAGTCTGTCAGTCTGTCAGTCTGTCAGTCTGTCAGTCTGTCAGTCTGTCAGTCTGTCAGTCTGTCAGTCTGTCAGTCTGTCAGTCTGTCAGTCTGTCAGTCAGCCCGGGTCTGTCAGTCTGTCAGTCTGTCCCGTCGGTCTGTCAGTCTGTCAGTCTGTCAGTCTGTCAGTTCGTCAGTTCTGTCGGTCTGTCAGTCTGTCTGGTCTGTCAGTCTGTCAGTCCGTCAGTCTGTCAGTCTGTCAGTCTGTCAGTCTGTCAGTCTGTCAGTCTGTCAGTCTGTCAGTCTGTCAGTCTGTCAGTCTGTCAGTCTGTCAGTCTGTCAGTCTGTCAGTCTGTCAGTCTGTCAGTCTGTCAGTCTGTCCGGTCTGTCCAGTCTGTCAGTCTGTCGTCTGTCAGTCTGTCAGTCTGTCAGCTCTGTCAGTCTGTCAGTCCTGTCAGTCTGTCAGTCTGTCAGCCTGTCCCGTCAGTCTGTCAGTCTGTCAGTCTGTCAGTCTGTCAGTCTGTCAGTCTGTCAGTCTGTCAGTCTGTCAGTCTGTCAGTCTGTCAGTCTGTCAGTCTGTCAGTCTGTCAGTCTGTCAGTCTGTCAGTCTGTCAGTCTGTCAGTCTGTCAGTCTGTCTGTCAGTCTGTCAGTCTGTCAGTCTGTCAGTCTGTCAGTCTGTCAGTCTGTCAGTCTGTCAGTCTGTCAGTCTGTCAGTCTGTCAGTCTGTCAGTCTGTCAGTCTGTCAGTCTGTCAGTCTGTCAGTCTGTCAGTCTGTCAGTCTGTCAGTCTGTCAGTCTGTCAGTCTGTCAGTCTGTCAGTCTGTCAGTCTGTCAGTCTGTCAGTCTGTCAGTCTGTCAGTCTGTCAGTCTGTCAGTCTGTCAGTCTGTCAGTCTGTCAGTCTGTCAGTCTGTCAGTCTGTCAGTCTGTCAGTCTGTCAGTCTGTCAGTCTGTCAGTCGGTCTGTCAGTCTGTCAGTCTGTCAGTCTGTCAGTCTGTCAGTCTGTCAGTCTGTCAGTCTGTCAGTCTGTCAGTCTGTCAGTCTGTCAGTCTGTCAGTCTGTCAGTCTGTCAGTCTGTCAGTCTGTCAGTCTGTCAGTCTGTCAGTCTGTCAGTCTGTCAGTCTGTCAGTCTGTCTGTCAGTCTGTCAGTCTGTCCGTCTGTCTGTCAGTCTGTCAGTCTGTCAGTCTGCCAGTCTGTCAGTCTGTCAGTCTGTCAGTCTGTCAGTCTGTCAGTCTGTCAGTCTGTCAGTCTGTCAGTCTGTCAGTCTGTCAGTCTGTCAGTCTGTCAGTCTGTCAGTCTGTCAGTCTGTCAGTCTGTCAGTCTGTCAGTCGGTCAGTCTGTCAGTCTGTCTCAGTCTGTCAGTCTGTCAGTCTGTCAGTCTGTCAGTCTGTCAGTCTGTCAGTCTGTCAGTCTGTCAGTCTGTCAGTCTGTCAGTCTGTCAGTCTGTCAGTCTGTCAGTCTGTCAGTCTGTCAGTCTGTCAGTCTGTCAGTCTGTCAGTCTGTCAGTCTGTCAGTCTGTCAGTCTGTCAGTCTGTCAGTCTGTCAGTCTGTCAGTCTGTCAGTCTGTCAGTCTGTCAGTCTGTCTGTCTGTCAGTCTGTCAGTCTGTCAGTCTGTCAGTCTGTCAGTCTGTCAGTCTGTCAGTCTGTCAGTCTGTCAGTCTGTCAGTCTGTCAGTCTGTCAGTCTGTCAGTCTGTCAGTCTGTCAGTCTGTCAGTCTGTCAGTCTGTCAGTCTGTCAGTCTGTCAGTCTGTCTATCTGTCTATCTGTCTTTCTGTCTATCTGTCTGTTTATCTGCATGTCTGTCTGTTATCCTGCCGTTGTGTTTGCCTGGCTGACTTTCTGTCTGTCTGTCGGTCTGTCTGTCGGTCTGTCTGTAGTCTGTCTGTCGGTCTGTTTGTCTATCTTTCTGCCTGTCCGTCTGTCTGTCTGCCTGAGTGTCTCTCTGTCTGTCGGTCTGTCTATCTGCCTGTTTGTCCGCATGTTTGTTTGTTGGTTTGTCTGTCCCTTTTTTTTCTTTTTTTTTCTGTTGGTCAATAAGTTATTGGTAGGTAAGATATTGTGTACGAAGATATATAAACAGATCTCGGAGCAGTAGCGAAGAGTTATTGCAAAATTTATTACTGGAGCTATTGTTCTTGTACATTTTCCTTTGTATATTTATCATATTTATTGTATATATTATTGAAATAAAATGTAAAATAGAAAGCACAAAAACCACGCAAACTTTTTCTAAAAGTGAATTCGGTCGGTGATATAATTTATTTTAGAGCAACGTCTGTTCACTTACGTAAATATATTTTTATTTATAAATGTATATATACACCACATATATCGTCACAAATTTTCGATACACATACATTTATATATGAATGTATGTTTTGCTGCATGTGTACACTCATAGTTAAAAAAAGATTTTTAACAACGAAATATTTTGCTCACATTGTGCACTATAATTCCATTCAGCTGATATTATTGAAACAAACCACAAATAATGACTGATGATATACTTGTTGCTGGTGTATTACATGTGTTACGTGGGTAGACTTGCATGCACCCTTCACTGCTTATCAAGCACTTTAATTTAAAAATTTGAATCGATTTTGTCAGGTTTATTTTACTTTTTAATGGAAAGTTAACCTAGCGCTTGCTTGTACAAGCTTAGAGCAATATTTTCTTATATGTCTTTTCACTATATTTTCCATTCCACAAGAAGTAATTAAAGCAATTTACTGTAATCAACACAACGATTTCATATTCAGCATTAATTTTCCTACACCTTGTTGCTTTTGTATTCTCTTTTTGGCGTTTTCTACCTGCTATGAATACTTCTGTGGGGTGTCCCGTTCACACGCGTTCCAATGGCTTCAGGCCGGGTTGCTCAGCGGGTCGATAGCATAAGCGGTATCTAGACGTTCTCGGCGTTCAACGTTCAAACTGAAACTGAATCAAACTTGAAGGCTATGAGGCAGCCAACGACAAGCCAAATGGCAGACAAACACGACTGTGAGTCAGGGAAACAACCCCTAAAGTGGCCTGCCGTTCGGTTCTTTGCAGCTGCTGGTGTTTCGGACAAGTGTTTGGGACAAATTCGTCAGCGATAGCCGGTTCTGGCAAACTCTTCTGTGGGTGTTTTTGTAAACTCGAAATTCGGAATTTAAGACTACAATTCCCATAATTACTACAGAAATACAAATAGGCTCTTCAGCACATCGTTGTTTAACATCACTGGTTATTTATAATAAACATTTATGATAGGATTTTTATTACTTTAGAATTTTGTTTAGTTGTACAAACTAATTTTGGGGAAAAATTGGACATAAATTTTTACAGGTCAATTCTTTGTTGCAAAGAGGTATAGCGTTTTTGTACTTTTTTAAAAATGATAATTTTATAAAATTCGGGCGGGAAATCATATAGCAATTGAAACTTTATTGTATCGAACCTCCGAAAATCTCAATATTGGAAACAAGACGAAAAACTATATATATATATATGGTACTATGTTCAATTCATTTTAAAATACATATGCATATGAACCATATTTCTCAATTGACGTGTATATATATTTGTTTACTCAATTTTTAAGCAAAACAAAATGTATTCCAGATACACACGTTTAATTAAAATTTGTAGATTTGGTCTTTGTACATGTCAGTCTTGAAATAAAATTATTAAAATTACCTTTATTTATGATTACATATTGAATGTTTTTTATTCGCGTTAGACAATCACCCATTATTTTCCCCTAATCATAAAATTCTAGTTTTGACCATGGTTACAAAATTAAGAATTTATATATATTCATTAACACAATTTCAAATTACTACTGTTAACCAAGTTGTTAGAGAATATATTTTGTTTTTTATTTTTGTAAATCCACCAATACATATAACCTGGATATTAAGTCTCCTGAAAGAGCGTAAGTTGTCTGACATTATCGAAACTAGAAAAGAGAGATGTAAGAAAAGGAACAACACCGTTTTAGCTTGATAACTAGCAAGATATGGGGTGGAACCTGCTTGGGACAGGTGCTCACGGCAACAGATGTTAACCACAAATATGTTGACCCTCGCCCTACAGTTGTCAGCCATCCACACGCCTTTGAATCGTCCTATCAACCAAGAGTGGTTCTCGAACAGTAAAAGGGTATATTAAAGAACTGCGTAGTCGAGCAGTTGTGCAGACTTTAAAAATGCCAACATAAGGTATGCTTTTTAGTATAAGGTCAAAATCACTCTTTACTTGAAAAAAAAACTCGGAAACCATAAGAACTAATAATTTGGGAAAAAAAATTTTATTTTAAATAATCCCAAAGAGTTAAAGATGGTTTCATCATCGGGCCACGACCACTTGCCGCGAAAATCTTTGTCGTCCATAACATTATGATTCGTTTTGTTTTTTAATTGATTTTATAAAATCAAATTATTATTTTAAAATTTGTCAGTTATCTGATAGTTGCGTCATTTGGCTATTGAGTCAATTTTAACAATTACTGAGAAAAATACAATGGGAATTAACAAAAGGTGCAAATAATGTTAGCGTGAGCTAGTCAATTGCCTGATATATGTGAAAACACAACAAATATGCAGTATTTAAGAATCTCAAAATAAAACAACGCAACTCTTAATGGGTTTACCTTTATATAAATATATATTACATGTTACTTAAAGAATTCCAAAATGTGCATTATAAAACAACAATACATAAAATAAGTATTGCAAAACCTTAAAAATGTAAGTATAAATGCAGCCGGCAAAAGTTAGACATTTTTGTTTTATTCAATTTAATTTGTGCAATTTCAATTGGCACATTTATCTTGAAGAAAACTGGCTGCTTGCCTTCACACTTGTCTGATAATGACGAATGTGTTCCCACATACTTCCCTTATACTCTTGGTATACTAATGAGCTTCAAAAAACCTCATAATAAAATCAAAAGGACGAATAAGCCATTGGATTTCTCAGAATCTCTCCAATTTTAATTCTCCTAATATTTTTTTTATTAATATAAGAGGTTTACAAAATTTAAATCTTCTGCGAGAGCCAATCTAAGGTTTTCGGCTAAAATGTTTTTTGAAGGTGGTGGACATTTCTTAAGGTATTGTTAATGTGAAAGTTTTGTGTGTCGCGATCTACGGCGAAGGAACTTACTTTCATCCCGTTGTGGGACCGGAGTTTGCTTATTTGGCTTGAATGAGCTGTTTATACCCCTTACTAGTATATTAAATTCGTTAAAAAGTATGTAACAGATAGTTTATATAAATTATAAAGTATATATATTATTGATCAGGATGAATAGCGAAGGAACAATTATTGTGTAAAACAGTAACGGGTATCTTATAGTCGCGGCACTAGACTATAGCGTTTCCTCTTGTTTTATTTGAAATTACATCGCTTAAAGTTTTAGGTTGTTTACGTTATTTGGCTTTCATTTGGGTTTTCATTTTTTTTTGAATAATATACTTACTGATGTTTTCTCTGCGTCCGGCGGGCTTGGGAGTATTTCCATGCTGTAGTTGATGTTTCATAAGGGCTCATGTTGCAAGGAGGTAAGTTATTTGTAGGTTTCGGTTTTCGTTGGTATTCTTTCATAATTGGTGCTAGATTATCAAATATTCTTATCTATACTAGAGTACAAGAATACATCGTATGGGTGTCGGATCGACTTTTTCTAGGGTTTTAATAAATTTCTTTTTGTTTAATTTAAATATTAAAGAGTGCTTGGTTTTCTTGGTGGCTTCCGTGCAGTTAGCGCAGCATTTATCGATTGAGCAGAGTTCAACTAGGCTAGATTTATATGGCTTTACACAGTCGATGTAAAATGTTCCCTAGAGCAGAGTCTGATATCGTGTAAGTAGCTTATGCAATTGTTGCAGAGGAATGGTGAAGGGATATACGGCCATACTTTAACGGATTGGCAGTCTCTGGTGTTGTAGATCCTTTTTTTTATTTATTTGACTTCACATTCATTTTGTAACGTAAATTCGGGCTTGATTTCAAGCTTTGTAAGGTAAAGGAACCCGTTAGAATAGATAACGCTTTTCGAGACGTTAAACGTACGGTGTTATTCTACATCGTCGAGGTATTTTCCCACTAATTGAAGTTTGAGAAGTTCTTCGGCTTAAAGGCCGTTTTTTGTTTTAGCAACATCACTTTTCTTTAAAATTTTTTGTTTAACAAAACTGTTAAAGCTGATAAAAAGCTGAAACTTTTTTTTAAATATGAACATATATTTATTCAGTTAATAAGACTTTTAAAACTGAATAAATCAAAAAAGGGGGCGAGGGATGAATTTTAAATATCTGATGGTGAAGTCACTGCCCATGTGATTTCTTACAACATACATTTCCTAAAAATTGCGAAATAATGTTCTGACTTGAAAAATATTTGGTATATCGATAAGTAATTTATTACATTTGTGAATGGATGAAAAATCACCTAGAGCTGCGGTACTTCGTGGGCGTAAGAGTGGGAGTGGCCAGACGCTTTGGAGGGATCACAAGAAACTACATGCTCTAATAGTTTCTGAGATATCAGCGATTTTCGTTTTTCGTGAAACGATAAGAAGTTTCGGTTAATAAATAGGTATTGACAAAACAAATAAGACAAACGTGCCACGAAATCGAAAACTTAAACCTTAATATTAGGAAAGCCAATGTTTGTTGCTTCTTCTAGAGAGGGATACGTTATCCAAACATTCTAACTCGTAAGCTTCAACAATTTCAGCTCTATTAGTTTTTCGAGGTTAGTTAAGTTTTCGTTTGACTATAAATATAACTATAGGCCATACTCGTGAAAAAAAAATTCATTCTTCAGGAACCAGATGCCAGCAAAGCTCCTGCTGGCATTTCTAGAATGTGCATACCTAATCCCAATTTTATTGCAATTATAATTAGTCAAATCATCTTTTATATCTTACTGTTTCGGAGATCTTAGCGTTCATATGAATAGACGGGCTAACTTACGTACAGACGGTCAGTACGACGGAAAGAAGTTAATGGCTAAATCGACAGTGCTATTAAATACTTGTTATTTAATTAAATATTAAGAAGGTAATAAATCAACAATCTACTAATACAGGGTATCACTAATAAGCAAGGAAACGCTTTTTTCTGAACTGTCCTCATGACAGCCCTAGAGACACTTAGAAAGCGGAGCCGTGCACATAGACAGTCAGCGAAGTCCACAAGCTAGAATGCCGCATATCATAAAAACGCCCATCGCAGCATGTATCCTCAATCAATCGAGATTGATCACCGTAATATATTTTTAAAAATTTATCGGTATCTGAAGTTGTCTCTAAATAGTACTAGAACACAACTCCGTGTCTAATTTTAATAGCTGTGGTGATTAATGTGTGTTATTTACTTTTCAACCCTTTTCTGGAGTTAATAAATTATCGATTTTGTTTTTAGTTTCATCAATATACAAGATTTTTCGAGCGAGAGTAAAAAAGACCTCGGCCGTCATTAATATTAAGTTAGCCTCCTGTTTATAGAGCCAAACATTAGGGCTCTTATAGATTTTTCAACGAAACAGAATTCAAGTTTTCTCTACAAGAAATAGGTACAGCATGTGTAATTTGATTCATATTTATTGTATAGATACAAATGCTTTGAATACATATTAAATAGTGTGTTTAAATTCTTTAGTAAAAGCTTTATAATGTACTTAGGGATAACCACTAGGTAAGTCAGCGGCCAAGTTGATGGCCGTTGAGTTTCCTTCGATAAATGTCATGGACATACTCTTTGCGCCTAACAAGGAAGCTCCATTAATTTTGGTGTTGCTAGCGGTTACAT